CCTTCGTTCCTTCCTTTCTTCCTTGCTTCTTTACTTCCTTCCTTCGTTCCTTCTTCCTTCCTACCTTTCTTCCTTCCTTCTCTCATTCCTTTCTTCCTTCCTGCTTTCCTTCTTTCCTTCCTTCTTTCTTTCCTTCCTTCCTTCATTCCTTCCTTCCTTTCTTCCTTCCATCCTTCCTTCTTTCGTCTTCCTTCCTTCATTGCCTTCAAAGGGATCCCAGCGAAAAAAAAGAAGGTCAAACAAAACAACGACAAAATACGGCATCCCTCGTGGATCCTAATCCCACCCAATAAATACGCATCATGAGCATCATTAGGAGGCTTCTTAGGGCCAACACACGCGCATAATGAGCATCATCGGGGAGCCGTTTTTCCACTTTGGACAGACCTTCAATTACCCAAAAAAGACCCCCACCGGGGACGGTCCCAGACCCAACTCCCGCTGGAGAATAGCCCCGGATACGTGCGAAAAATGCCCACCTCGCGGGGGCCTTCTCCCCACTCCTTAATGCAACCTTTCGGTTGGTAAGCAAATCAGCTAACCACAGAGGCTAGCTTTCATAATATATATCAGCAATATAAAATCACATCTATTTACTTTAATATTTATATAAAAAGAATAATTTTCTTCGAAATTATTATAGACCTTATCGTAAATTATCTTTTCAATCATTCGATATTCAAATTCTGCTAAAAATATATTATATATATATATCGGTTATCAATTATTATTTTAATCAAAATCTAGATATGAACTATCGAATTTATATATGAAATTAGAAAATATGATATTAAAATATCAAGTAAATATTATCGACTCTAATATTAGTTCATTTCGAAATAATTTTTATGCTATTAATATTTTCCAGAATATTATATATTAGACTTCTTTTAGATATTTATGCATGTAAAAGCAATTCATATGTTTCAATTGGATCAGATGAGAGAATAATCTCATCAAGCAATCCTATAAAATCAAAGTCTATATATTCACATATATATATATAATTCATATATGGTATAGATCTTTATCTATATATATATATATATGTATATATATATATGCAACAGATCTTTAAGATTATGATCTTTTTTCAATCGGAATTTTGATATCCATTTTGAATTGATTTCGTACGGTCAGTTCAAGATTCAAGAACTCGGGTTCGTAGCTCCTTGCGCACGCAAAGGCAAACGAGCGATATTTCTGGTGGAGCAGTAGCTGTAAGTTGCCGCTGCACGAGGTACTGTAGCATTGGAGAAGCTGCTTCGAAGGCCGCCGTAATAAGAGCGAGGTCGGGTGATACTGTTGATGGACAAAATTCTGCATGACCCAAATATAGCATAGTACCATAAATCCCATAGTTTAGTTATATAAGGTCATGCAGGATTTTGTCCATCAACCGTATCAAGCGCTTCCGGGCCGGGTGACAGATTGCAAGCACGGCCAATCGATCAGCCTCATCATGGGATGTGGAGGATTCACGGAATCCTCGAGATGGTCTTCCGGTTGTAAGTGCGATATGTTCAGCTCTAACCAGGTACAGACCTCTAGAGGGACCGCAAAGGCAGGACCTGGTCGTTTGTGACGATTTCCCAGAGCTGTCGGCGATGTCATGATGTTCACTTCTTGCCGTGTTGTGCTTTCATGTGGGTCGTTCCTTTTCTTCTCATCCTCTGTCGAGGTGCATAGCGTGCATCTGAATCTACGACCTCGCCGGGGGACACCCCATGTTAAGGTTTCCTCACACCGAAGTCCGAACATGGGACAACTTGTGGTACCCATGGTGGTTTTGATTAAGTACACATTCGAAGACAAGGCAAGGCCACCGACACCTCGGAGGTCTTGCGCAACGTCCTCATCCCTAAACCCTCGTACCAGCGTGTCCAGCTGCTTTCACTGGACCTAGCGGTAAGACCTCCCAAGTCGGTGACGCCAGAATAGGGGCCGCCATTTCCACCGCCAACGTCGGCCCGCATAGTAGCTTTGGTGGTGGCCTTGTTTGGTCAGTCGAAGGGGATCTGCGACTGTAACGCCAAGGAGTAAAAAGGGCTCTAGCACCTGCAACCTGCGGCAGGCCAAAGGATACTAAACGAATTATGAAGGACTGAATTGCTTTGCCGAAGAAGTTGCTGTCGTGAGAAGGGACTTGGGTCGTTTCAGCTTGCGGCATCTCAAAGCAATCCGCAGGACATTCCCGTAATACCTGGGCTTTTCCGGGAGGCTTCTTGGTCGGGCTAAGAGTTGAAGGTTTAGGGTTTTAGGGTTTGGGGTTTAGGGTTTAGAGTTGAAGGTTTAGGGTTTTAGGGTTTGGGGTTCGGTTTAGGGTTTAGAGTTGAAGGTTTAGGGTTTTAGGGTTTAGGGATTTGAGGTTGATAACTTGACATCTGCAGAAGCGTTCAAGTGCACTTGAAGACCCAAGTTTGCGAGTCTTCCTGAGAGACTCCAAACGCATCCTGAGGCACTCTGAACAAAAAACCCTAAAACCACAAACTCTACACACGACTTTATAGAGCCCTCTTCAAACCTGTATAATGTCGAAGCCTTAATAATTAAGAATTGGGTTTGGGGGTATGTTATACTATAACTCTAGTACGGACCCCCCCAAATAGTATTTGTAATTATTTATGCTCCTATAATGATTACCGCCCTTACCCTAAACCGCCCTTACCCTAAACCCTGAACCCCAAACGCTAAACCCCTAAACCCCTGAACCCTTAAACCCCTGAACCCCTGAACCCCTAAACCCCTAAACCCCTACGTAAACCCCTAAACCCCTAAAACCCTGAACCCCCCCATCTCAAGAACGGCCTAGGCACAGGTTCCGAGGAGTTCCCCGAAAACCAGCACCGGCCTTGCCAGTCCTTCGAAGCTTCGGACGGAGCCTCTGAGGACCTCATCTTTCGGTGACGACATCTCGCTGTTTAGGGTTTAGGGTTTAGGATTTGGGGTCACAGTAGGGTTTAGGGTTTAGGGTTTAGGGTTCAGGGTTCAGGGTTCAGGGGTTCGGTGTCGGGGGTTTAGGGTTAGGGCTTAGGCTCTTACTCTTGCTATCACTACTATTACTACGGAATTACTGCTATTACTACCATGAACACCACTACTACAGGTACTAGTACTAGTACTGGTACTCGTACTTGTACTAGTACTGGTACTAGGACTAGTACTACTATTACTACTACTACTACTACTACTACTACTACTACTACAACTACAACTACAACAACAACAACAACTACTACTACTACTACTACTACTACTACTACTCTAGTACTACTACTACTCCGCCATGAGAGTTGAAGGGGTTTGTGGCTGCTGGGTTTAGGGTGCAAGGTTCAGGGTTCTCGGGTTTTCTGCTTTGGGGTCTAGGGCCTCGGGCTTTCTCACGGTTTAAGAAAAAGGGTTCTACGTTTTGGCGGTCTTAGGCTTTCGGTTGATGACCGAAGTACCGGAACCACGGTTTAGGGTTTAGGGTCGAAAACTATCAATTCTAGGGCCGTAGAAGGTTTTTGGGCAGATTATGCCTGCATGATTTCAATTTCAAGACCCTAAATCCGAAATTTCTAACCCAACCCGTCCCTACAACTGACTGTAATCCCCTAATCTCTCATCTCTAACCCACGGCCCGGGGGCTGGATTTCCAGGAGCCGATCACTGGCCCTGCTTGCTGCAACTGCTCTGCAACCATCCGGGTCACCTAGGCGTTTCTTTGGTTTTGGAGTGAAAGAAGCTTTATTGTGCCCCAGTCACCCCTTGACCATACGGGGTTTGTGATTTTTTTGAGACCCTAAACCCTAGACCCTAAACCCTAAACCATGTATGGGCCGTGGTAAGGCTTCTACCAGCTTAAACGGGGTTTTACAACCTGCTTATACCAGGTTCCCACAGCGACCTCTTGAAATTAAGCGCAGCCTGAGTGAATATGGAGGCCCCCAAGTTTTGAAAGAGCATAAGCATGGGGGTAACATAGCGGCCGTAATAATTCGAACAGGGCTTTGGGGCCCGTTATACTGAAATTACAATAAAGAACCCTCGAAACAGTATAAGTAGTTCCCTAAACCCTAAACCCCCACTCAGTCAGGCCCCTATATTACTTCTGTGGGACCAGGTCACAGGACATGGTGAAGACGCTGTCGGTGCTCAGAAAACAAGCAGGCTGATCACAGGAAGCCTTCTTGGTTCCTTGGCTACTTGGAGGATCATGGGACTTAGTAAGTAAGGTTATAAGTCCCCTAATTGGGGTTTTAAGTATAGTTACCTCAATTATAACCTTACTTACTAAGTCCCATGATCCTTTAAGTAATGTAGGGGCCTCAATACTTGGAATAGGTTTTGGGGGGGTTCCTTATTATATTTGTAGTATAATATACCCCAAGCCCTATTCTAATAATTAAAGCCCCTATATTACCCACTATCCCCGTGACAATGAAGAGTACCTTCTTCCCATGATTCCGTGTTGCTGAGGAGACACCAAAATACAAAGGGCATAATGCTGGCGAAGCTAGGCTCTGTCCTGCGGAAATGTGATGTTGAGTATGGAGGTGTCCACACTCAGTTCAGCACAGTTCTTTATGGAAGGAGTGGGCGGTTCGGATGCAGAATGTGCCGCAGCAAAAGTGGCCACGTCTGAAATGATGTCGATGTGGCATATCATCCGCTTTGTTGCAGTATACGCGCATTTCCTTCTCGACACGCTGAGCTGCACCGCTTCTACCTGAACGTCTCTTGGAAACACTGCCAAGTTGATGTTTCTTGGTTTCAAACAACCAGAGTCAAGTTGATTTCAGACTTAACCGAGATTCTGATTGATTTGATGGACCACAATTCTCCAATCCCTTTTGGGAAACTGTTAATAAGGGTCAAGCGACAGTCGCAAGAACGTGGAGTTCTGCGGCCTTCCAACAGGCTTCGAAGCGCTCACACGAGGACGTCACATCCGCGTAATGAGCACAGAAGCCTTCAAAAAGCTGCGTCCTGGTGTCACCTCGAGTATAAAGGGTCCTGGGGTGCTGTATAGGAGAGGATACGGGGACATTGCTGACTATTCCAACCCTATTGTCAGATGGACAGGGTAGACACATGGATTCCGCTGGGCACATCGGTACAGCTTACGGCAAGGTCAGCCTTGAGAAAGGCGACAAAGGGGAGAGTCTGTAAGAGTTACCAAGTCACAGCGTTGTGTCTTCTCGGTGCCTGCTGCTAGATCACCAGATGTATTCCCAATAATCCAGATTTCGCAATGCTCTCCGCCAGTCGTGCCAGAGCAGTCTGTCATCCCGCATGCGATGCTCGTCTCGGCGCAATACGACTCGCGAACGCCACTTGGGCAAGGGGTCGATCCGCACTCCTAAGCTGTTGTCCGAACTCAACCCGACTACAACAACATGGATGCACCCACATAACATGCTTGCTTGTCCAGTTTACCGGATTGGCCTAAATGTCATACGACCCCACAAGTTAGGCCGTCTACCCAACCACCGAACATGATTCCCTAAACCCTCAACCCTAAACCCTAATGCATTTTACGTGTGATTCCGGACCCGCCAAGCTTCTGGGGTCCGGATTGGGCTAGTCTCAGTTTTGTCGCTCACGCACTGGTGCTCAAGGGTGTTTTTAGGGCGTCACAAGAGTTCATCAGCTAGCTGTACTTATACGGAAAATGACGACTCAGTGTTATTCAACGAATTCTCGGGCAAAGGGGAAAAGGGCCTGAGGGTACCAGTACCTAGAACCTTACACTCCAAACCCAGAAGCCTTCCAGAACCCTTACCGAACCCGTTTTGACGCCCTTAGCGGCTGAAACACCTGACGTACAGAAGGCCTCAGAAGGCTCAAGGCCCTCGTATAGAACCCTTAAACATGGGCCCACACGGAAGCCTTATAGAAACCGAAACCCTCTTCTAGAACCCTACTCAAGAGCAGCCCTAAACCCTGAACCCCGCAATAGAACCATCCTACATGGACGAAATCGTCAAGAAAAGCCCAGGTTCCGACCGGGGGCGCTTGGAAAGGGTGAACAGTTTTTGGACAGCCAGCCGGGTCCTCCCGTCGTTCAGGTTCAAGGGCTTAGGGGCCTAGGCTTTAGGGTTTGGGGCGTAGGGCTTGAGAGCCTCTGAAACATACTGTGGATGATATAAATCCTGCATTACTTTAAGGACCCTGAACTATGGGAACTATGCTATATTCCTTATGATGGGTAATGCAAGATTTATATCATCAACCGTAGGGCTCTCTTTCGCCATCTTACCAAAGGAATGCCAGAAAGAACAGGTATGAGGGCACTACTGGGCAACTCGGACCATATCCAGCAACAACAAACTCTGCACCCCGAGCCCTACTAATACCTCAACCCAAGTTCGACAAAGCACCTAAACACCCCTACTAGACACCCCACACGCCCCTTGTTCAAAATCCCTAAACCCTAATAAATCCTAATACACCCTAATACACCCCTAAAAAAACCCCAAGAAGCCCTCATGAACCCTCATACACCTAATAAACCCTAATAAACCCCAATAAACCCTCATAAGCCCTAATAAACCCTAATAAACCCTAATAAACCCTAATGAACCCCAATGCACCCTCATAAACCCTAATAAACCCCTAAGAAGCCCCTAAACCCCTTTAAAGTCCTCAACCCTAAACCCTAAACCCTAAACCCTAAACCCTAAACCCCTAAACCCTAAACCCCTTTACGGTCCTCTTGAGCAGCTCTCCAGTGCAGGCCAGGAACTTCTGACCCAGCCTCTCTGAAGGACTTCGGTATTTAGGGTTTAGGGTTTAGGGTTTATAGGGTTTAGGGTTTAGGGTTTATAGGGTTTAGGGTTCATAGGGTTTAGGGTATAGGGTTCGGGGTTTAGGGCTTAGGG